AAGCTGAATACACATCGAGCGGCGGACAGAGGGCCTGTGGCCAACATACAGGGCAAAACACCACTCTGTCTAGCGCGATATTTGCAGGAGGTTGCTCCGTTCAAGATGTTGCGAAAGGTTACTAGATGCAAGAAAATGCAAAGATGCGTAGCTTGAGGTCCATTAGAAATATTTCACCGTAGCGCAGCAACTTCGTGTAACGGCTCTTGTGTAGAGCAGCGTACTGCAAGCCAGGGCGACGACCAAGCGCGCTTAGGCCTGCCCAGCGCTGATCACGCTTCGGTTGGGTCTCTTTCGCTGTGTTGCTTCTTTGTGTCTAAAGGGTCGGTGTTATTACGATGTGGAAATATCTCGGTTGCGAGCGTGCGCCGCCAACTCGTCTCAGCAGTGTCGCTGTGGTCACCAATCGGCGCACACATACAGGCATGAACTAGTGCAGATACAAAAAGCCAGCTATTTACACTGGTAGAGAGGCCTGTCTCCGTTTCAGCTGGGTTTGGTGAGGGCTGCGAGCGGCGAGGGACGTGCACGACGAGCCAGGAGACAAACAGCAGTTGATCTGCGGGCTAGCGGCAGTGAATACTCTTTCTCAATATGAGGAACCTTCAACTCCACGAATGAGTAGATAAAAATATACACATCTTATACGGGCACTTTGGGGACAAGAAGAGCAGGAGTAGACAGCTGTCGCCCGAGCCAGGGAGACGGCCGGGTGCCCGGGCCCCATTTGCTATTACAGTATGGCGCGCAGGACACAGGAAGGGCCTCCTCTGGTTTTTCTTGAGCTGGATTGCCTTCTTATGGCGTCAAGGGTTGGGTTATTGTCTGTTGCTAGAATATTTCAGTTGTTAAGACGACCTGTGGGCCCCGCCTTCTGTTATTTCGTCCCCGAGCGCCCGCTCGCGCGCCCACACCCGTCTCAGCTGCTTACACAGGGATCTCCTGCTTCCCTCAAGGTATGTATTTTCTTTCTTTTTTCATATTTCAACTTTTCCACTCTGTTTGGATGGAGGACTCGTAGAGAGCGCTGGCATGGAAGTGGCAAGCAACACTTGGGG